CCCGGGTTTTCGGACGAATCGGGGCATGAAGAAGGATGCACAGAGGTAAGACGAAGCGGCAGGCAGATCAAACATCAGGGACCGAAATGTTACAGAGACCCAATAACGCATTCGGTAAATCTAATCTGCTCTGAAGCTGATATTACGGACCTGAACAAAGCGGCTCTAGCGTTGTACCGCATAAAGCCAAAAATAAACTGTGCTGAGCTCGTCAAAACATACAAAACCAGAACGGACGAACCGGTGAAGACGCGATATGGCCTTTTGAAGCGGTACCTATTTCGAAGGAAGTTCGGTTGTGCATCTCTCGACATTACAAAGACCTGGAATGTAGCTTGGCAAATACCACTCAGTTCGAACCTACTGAGGAAAAGAGAATCGACGTAACGGGAAAACTGAAAATAAAACTTTTTAAACTGAGTAACAAAAATTTATCTTTATTTAAGTTTTATATTTTGCTATTTAAGTTTCTTGACCTCACGGGAATGTGGTACTGCTGCCTCAGTAAATTTGAGATGCTATGTTATTATATGCATACTCATTATTGTTATTTAATTCTCAAGGCCATTATGTGCCGATCTGAAGCGTTCATGACTGTTACTCAGACTTCCATAAGGAGATACGGATCTCAGTAAATCATATTATAGAAATGCTCAGAAAAAGACATTAGAACAATCTAAGCTGACCGTTGAAATTTTATCTGTTTTCATTTAAAATCAACGTTACTCTTTACGGTATCTTAGATACGATGAGCCTCGTTGCTTTGACTTTCGAAGAAAGTCAGCGAATAGTTGCACTCGGGCTGTTTTTTTTAGTCCAGACAAGTTTCGGCTTTTAATCTGCCATTTTCGGTCAAAGTAATTTAGAACATACTGAAAAGTATTTCGATGCATTGTACTCAATTTTTTAAAAAGTTTTTTATTGATGATCAATCTTTTTTGGAAGATTTTTTAGGGTTTAAGAGTTGCCAATTTGGTATAATTAACGTGCGCTTTTTTCAGTTTTTTTAAACGTAGCAAATAAGCAGCAAACAAGACACATTATGATAATTTTAATTGAATCTGTCAAGATTTCTGAGTTCACTGTCTAGAAAGTGGAGATAATCAAAACAATACAAATCTCATTTTTAGCCACACCCATCTTTGGTCAAAAAGTAAACAAATCTATGCTGGGTCGAACAAATAAACGTTTAAAAAAACCGTCTTAAGTTGAAGAATACCATATTCATGTCGAAAAATTTAGAACATCTGAACTGGTTCAAGCAAAGTCGAACATCTTTTTCTTGAGTCGAGAAAGTCGAATTATACTAAATAATAGTTAAAACATACCAAAATTCAGTCTGTAAAGTCGAACTATAAATCGGGCCCCTCAACTCGGGAATGGAGCCGTCACAGATATGAAACAAAATATTTTTCAAAGACTGAATTATTTCTTCGTAAATAAGATGCTAGCGAATACGCGGAGGAAGAGGGGGGATTTGACCTACATTCGTTACTGAAACCATCCCAACAATAAACTACGCCAAACAAAAATAGAGCTAAAAACATTGAAAATCTACTGAACCTGAATATGAACTTAAAGATTTTTTTTTTGCTATCTCAATGCCTTGGATGACCCGCTGGAAGGTTGTAAGCTGCCTTCGACGCTAATTCAGATCAATGGTAAAAAGGTGATATTCAAATGTGTTTGCCGGTCTGGTGTTATCGGTCATGACCAGATGTTTTGATAGGTCAAATAACTTTGCGCAAATGAAAATTGGTGTATTTAGTTAGTCACAGTTTGATAGTTTTGTTATGTGTAGCAATAATTAGGCCAACATTTTAAAACTTGTATCATTTGAAACTTTCAATTATGGCATCAACATCACAGTTTATACAAGCGTGACAATATTTATACAAGCGTCGCCCAAAATTGTTTTCTCAAGTTTGAATTCTTATCTGGCCAGCTAACAATATGTAAGTTATATAAATTTTGATGTATATTTTAATTTAAATTTTTCTGTGACCTTGAGAAATAATTTGTCTGATAATTGCTTTTTCATGCAAAACTTGCTGATATAGAGAATTACAGAAGGTTGGAACAGACAATATTAATTAAAAGGACGAGCAGATGACTTAACTCAGACAATTTCTGAATGCAAAAGCTGATTTTTCAGACGGAAAGTATGTCTACTTCAAGGTCAACTAAAAGTTTAAATTTGCATACAAAAATTTCTCAAAACTGGCAAATAACTCTTTTTAGTCATTTCTGTCTGTTCCAATTTTTTGCAGCATATTATATCGGTATAGAGAGTAAAAAGTTCGGACAGACAGAAATAATTAAAAAGAGCAACTGTCTAGAAATCAACTAAAATTAAAACTGAAATAAACAAAACATCGAAAGTTCATAAAGCAGAGTTACGGGATCTACTTAACAATCCCCACTTTCAACAAAGGGGAGGAGATTGTTAATTAGATTACTGGCAGCGAACATTCGACCAATCAGAATGCAGCAAAATTCGAATTTACATACAATGCTCTAGTGCGAATTTACTGTTTTTATTTACAGGGGTGGATATTATTTAGTAAATACAATAGGGGAAGGGAGGGGGGGGGGTGGGTGAATTTGTGAAGATCCGAGTTTCGCTCAAAATCTATAACCACGGCGGGCAATTGCATCCAAAGCGTCGAGCTGTTTTATATTAAAATCTGGATGTTCATCGCAGTATTTAAAAATTAGGCTAGCATTATAATCGGATAACCAACAATCTCGCATTTTGAATTTGGTCTGACAAAAAGTTCAAGGTTGTTCGGCTTCAGATTTTGCATGTAAAAAAGCGTCGAAAAGCACTGATTGCTCATTTTAATTAATTCTGTCTGTCCGAACTTTTTGCTACTAATTATATTTTGCTCTTTTTATAGGTATTGCAAAATTGTTGGTAATATCTCTTTCGGTCAACGAATCTGAACGAAGTTAATTAATTTAAAATTGCTTATTTGGCGGCTGATACAGTGCTGATTTGAATTAACCGGACAAAGCAAGCTAAACTTCAAATTTAAAACGCGCTTTTCTCCAATTGGGTTGAGTTTAGGTGAAAACTTAAGAAGACAAAACTTGCTTAAAATTTTGGCAGAATTATTATGGTGTAATTTTTTTTGCAAAATTCGGGCCCAAAATTTTATCCCAAAAACGGGTCATTTTGGCTTTTCTTAGTTAATCAAAAATTACGCCGAAAAGACCCAGCCGATCACAGACATAATTATATCAAAGTGAGCCCCTTACGTAGCCCAACAAACTTTAAGAAAGGTATATTCTCCAAAATATTGTATAAATGAATTTATTTTTGTTTGGTAGACAAAAAAGGTCGTTTTTAATATATAAAATACCAACTTTTTATTTAAAAACAATTTTTAAACAATTTGCTATTTTTTTTGGAGAAAATACCCTTCTTAAAGTTTGTTGGGCTACGCAAGGGGCTCACTTTGATATAATTATGTCTGTGATCGACTAGGTATTTTCGGCGTAAGTTTTGATTAACTGAGAAAAACCAAAATGACCCATTTTTGGGATAAAATTTTGGGCCCGAATTTTGCAAAACAAATTACACCATAATAATTCTGCTAAAATTTTAAGCAAGTTTTGTCTTCATAAGTTTTCACCTAAACTCAACCCAATTTGAGAAAAACGCGTTTTAAATTTCAAGTTTAACGCGTTTTGTCCGGTTAATTTAAATCAGCACTGTATTAAATTTTCTTATTTCAGCGCGTAAAACAAAATCAAAAAATCTAATAAACCTCAAACAACTGTTTTTGCACCGATTAATTTTCTCAAGGTCACCGATAATATTGCCAACCATTCGGCTTTAACTATAATTTTATTTTCTTTCCAATGTTTTGTAATTCTCTATTTTTTAAAATTGTTTTCATTGAAAACTTCTAAGCGTCTGCTGTAACTTTTTGATTTCTTTTTGATTTTTTTGAGAGAATTTTACCAACATGACGCTAATCATTGCAGGTAAGCCATTCAAGCCTTCTCAGAAGTTTAGAAAATGGTAGTTCAGATATTACAGTTGGGAGAGTGTGACTATTGTTGATGTTCCGGACGGGAGAGGAACATCAATTTCGACCTACCCCTATGAAAGCATCGAAAAAGTATCGAACCATATTAAAGCCTTATTGGCCGTTCCTCACACACTCAGAAAAGCTGTCGGAGTGTCGAGAAATTGGTCTGAATATTTTAACAATTCGGGCTCAACTTAGTCAATTAAATTGAGTCTTCATTCACCAAGACGCCCTCAGTAAAGAAGCCATTATTACCAAGCAAGCGCTAAATGAAAATTCCAAAACTAGTTTTTTTAAGTAACATCAAGATTTCTTAACCTAAAAGCCTAAACGGAGGTAAAATGTTTACATAACAATCGTTTCTCGATCGCTTCACTCGCTCGAAATTGAACTTAAACTCGTAATCAACACTGGTACCTTGTATTGATAACTTTTTTTATGTTGATCGAATCTCAATATGATATCGACATTTTTTGTTCAATTTAGTGAATTTTTGAGCATGAAATATAAAACTGTGACCTTAATAACATGAATTGCGGTTGGACAACCAGTGTTTACTCAACCAAGAGTTAATTTAAGTCTGTTAGCAATTTTCACGCAAATAGCACGCAAGTTATTGACTAAATTGAGTTACCTTTTGATGGTCTTATTTGCTTGTCGTCTAATTTCCTCAACCTAAAAGCTCCTCCTCATTTTCAATGGCCGGAACAATAATGTTATAAATGAATGGTTTTTGACAAAGGGGTTGAAATCAAAACGCAGACGGGAGAGTGAGTGACCATCTGGTTGAGATGATAACAGAAGGTGGCTGCAATCATCTGACAGCGGGTTTTCTGTAATTCCTTTGAAAAATTATATTCTTAAAGAGAATCGCTAATCAACAGATTTATTTCGCCGCAATGAAATGTTTCATGCTAAAAAAACGTGTTCAAATTTCAGAAAATTTTAACTTTTTTTTAGTTCTCATTCCCGCGAGAGAAACCCCTGCTGATTTCATTTACCCAGACATCGACGCGAGGTCAGGCCGACTGAAAATGGCGGAAGTGGCGAGAGATGAGAGCAACCGACAGTACACTAGCAACGAGGATGACGTCATCACAGAAGGGGATCATGTTGACCAATCAGATGACAGCGATGATGACCACGAGGATAACGAGAGTGTCACTTTCGAAGACACAGAGTACAATCACGAAATGATGACTCCAGGATACATATGCAAAGACTACTTTCTCAGTTTCAGTGTCCGACAAGAAGTCGTGAAGGCAATTCGCGATTACGACATCCATGACAACGAAGTATTCCTGGCGGGATATCCTAGGTCGGGAATTACTTGGACGCAGCGAATCATAGGCGCAATGCGAGATGGTCCCGATGTCGTGAATTCACCCGACTATGATTTAACTCAACATTTCCCCTTCATCGAGTATTACGACATTTTCAACGTGCCCTTGTACGACGGGTTCGAGCTCTTCACTAAAATGAAAGCACCAAGAGTGGTGAAGACGCATCTTCCCTGTGAACTAATTCCACGAGCTTTTGAAAACACAGGCAAAGTTGTGGTTGTTCTAAGAAACCCAAAAGATATGATAGTCAGTTATTACAATCTATTTAAGAACTTGACTATGATAGACTACATTGCGACGTTCGAGGAGTTTTTTGAGATTTTCCAGAACTCTCATTTGCCCTACGGTAGCTGGTTCAAATGGGTCTATTCATACTGGCAAGCAAAGCAGGATAAAACCATCAAAAACGTCCACTTTTTAGTGTATGAACAACTTTTTATCAACACTCGTCAAGAAGTTCAAAAACTTGCTGACTATCTCGGATATGATTTGAGTGACGAAAAACGCATGCAGAAGGTTTTAGAAGCAATCTGTTTCGGAAGCATGCAGAACACAGTGTCATTTCCAGGGGCTAAAAACTTCATCAGAAGGGGAGGAGTGGGCGGATGGAAAAACGTACTAAGTGATGAAATTAGTGCGTGGATTGACAATAAAATCCGAACAGACCTGTACGAGAAAGGATTTCCAATTGAATTTACATTCGAGTTACCCTAATTTACTATTTATCCTCGACTGACAAATTGTTTGCGCAATGAAATTATGCCTGATAATTATTTTAATTCGACCCAAGTTTTTACACTTGTTTTTCTAAGTATTTGGAATTCGGTTTGAGAGTGAGGCAATGCTTTATAGCCAGAACATGAATTCATGATTGTAGTTAGTTTTCACCAAAGTTAGCAGATGGGAAAAATGAACAGCTTTATGTCTTTCTTTTTTCTCCCCTGCTCATTAGTTTGTTTAAAAAAACTTCGTAAGACATTGAGCATCCTTTTCTAAGTAGTAGGTAGGAATAGATCGAGAATTACCTCTACAGCAAAATATCACCGTAAAGCGTTTGAACTCCATAGCGAGGTCCATAAACACCGTTACACAAAACTTTTGAGAAAGGAGTGAAAGAAAATGTTGTTCTTGGGATAGCTTCGAATAAAATATATATTTTTTCTAGAAATAAAAAAAGACCGACGCAATTAAGGAATTATATTCTAACTACTAATGGGTGTATTTTTGTCCCTATTTCAGAACCCTAATCAAAGAAGTATTTAGGTGCCCCAACTGTGGTATCATGCCAAAGCTCTATTGGTTGTGATTCGCATTCCAAAGAGAAGCGTTGAAAGAAGTTATAAAATGTTGTATTTACGTCGAGAAATACTGAATTTTTCCGTTTTTCAGACCAACTTATTTTTAGGAAAGAGGGGAGAAATGAAATGTCTGTCCCCTTCAGCTGCATTAACTGTATTTTCTGCTGTTGTCACCTAATGTTTGCAGATAATTATCTAACTGAACCACCTCCGACGTCTCCGAAAAAAGTTAGAAAAAACTAACTTCGATTTTTTTTATGTTCTTTCATTTTTGATTTTCGGGGTAGGATCAATCTTTGATATACACACAGCAACCACAAAGCCTTGCTGCAATTGTAACCTCTCAACACAAAAACATTTCTACCCGGTGAGATACTCCAAGGATCTCTGAGTTGAGTGTAAAGACAATTTTACTATACATTGAAGTTCTTAGAACTGTTATGTATTTTACAGAGATAGCTGCCGAGTTACGCTCTAGCATAACACAAATCTGCCATTTGTACATGGCTGCAAGATTAAGTCTCATTTGACCTTGGCCTGAAAATATAAAACATTAAATAATATTTACCAACATTAAGAGCATCAAGTTTACTGCATGCGCAGTACCCCACTCCCCTGGTAGCTGGAAAAACTTTAGCTTCTATAATAGATAAAAGTTTAATAAATAAAGATAGGTGTTTTAATCTCAGTTTAAGCAGCAGTTGGTTTGTTTTAGTCGGTTCTTTTAATTAATCTCAATTTCTATCTGCCAGCTTGGGTTCCAGCTCACGTACGGGTCTTGTGTTAAAATCAATAGATCTGTCCCCTCTGTGTATCAAAATGACCATTTTAATTCGATAATTCATCAAGGCCTCCGTGAGACGGCTTCCGTGTGTCTCCACTACTTCGGAGTCTGTGGCAAATTCTTTCACTGAGTGTTTGATTGGGTCCTCGAATCGTAATGGATCTTTTTTTTTGTAGGATATGCACTCTTTCGTACATTGCTTTCCTCCTGTCTTGACTCCTCTGAAAACACCGGTAGCGGGTCAAATTAATCGTTCCTTCTTTTATTTGGGTTTATCTCAGTCCTATTTCATTCGCTGTCTTCTGGACCCCTCTCTATATTAGTTGATCCGCCAATGTCTCCCAATCTCCTGGAGCCAAATTGAGGTTCCGGAAAGTATCCTGGAGGTTTTCCGGTCGCGTCTTTGAATCAATTGTTTTTAATTTCTCCGCACTTTTCTTCTGAGACTTTTAGGGGGTTGAATTGCTGATTTTCTCTCCCGGGTCCATTTGTTTGCTCGGTGGTGTCGGTTTAGATATCCGAATCGTCTCTTCCGTCGTTTTCTCCTCTTGCTTTGATGAGTCTTTCTTAGCTGCCTGTGCAGCTTTACATCGTCTTTCTTCTTGCTCCGTCACCTTTTTTACATCTTCTTCATCACGACTTGATCCTGTGTCTTAGGAATATGGGACTTTGGTCCCCCGTTGTTCGGCTTTGCACTTTCTATAGCCAAAATTAGACCTCCACCTGAACTTGTCTCCTATGATGTGACGTATGTTGGGTTATCCTGAAAAGTCCCTTTCTCTAAATCTCCGCCATTGTTTTGTAGCTGCCAGTGCATCTGTTCATCTCCTGAGTCTTCTGCGTCGCTGTCCTCCGAAATTTCTACCATAGAAAGTGTGCTTTTGGGCTCTGTCGCTATTCCTTTGCTGCATTCTGGTTGTGGTTCTCTCTTGCGTGTTTTCCGTTCGTATTGGATGCTCCCGACTTTTTTCTTCTGTTGTAGTTCTTTTTTCGTCACTGCGATGTCGCTTTTCCTGTAGATAGCTACTGCAGTTGTCTTTATCGTCTACTTAGATTCCCATGACATCTTTCCCTTCGAGGGTTTGTTAGTGCCCTGCCGCTGTTGCTGTCTTCGTATTTTTTGAGAATCGTTTTGCTTGTGCTTTTGCAGCGGTCGTCTTTGCACTCGATGAAGCTGATCTCCCAAAAGTACATTAAACTTTTTTTGAGTTCTGGGTTCTTCAAACTTGTGAGGTACACCATTTTCCTGATGTCCTTGACTGCTGCGTTTCTTCTCTCCTCGTTCCTGCGTGCGTTTGCCTCGAGAAGATTTTTGAGAACCTTAGTCTATTCTTTCTCTTTTGATGACGAAATTTTCTGCTTGAACAGCGGGCTTGTGTCCCGACTTCTCGTTCCCTTTTTCACAATCTTTACATTTTCTGGTGACGGATGTATGCGTCGTTTGAGTTCAAAAGCCATAAATGCCGATCGTTCTGCTTATCTAAACGATCAGAGTTTTCAAGAATGTATCCGTAATTAATTCAAGTTCGTCTTTTGGTAGTCGTCTGCCGAAGTGTGCTTCGAACGGTGATTTTTCAATGGTTTTATGTTAATTGCATTTTATGTCACTGAAGATTGTGCTTAAGCTCGGTTTGATTGATTTCGTGTTTTCATCCAGTAACATTACCCCAAGTCTTCGTTTAAAAGTTTGTATGGACCTTTCCACCAAACCACACTGCCTATGGTCTCCCACCGGGCAAAGTTTTTTTTCGATGTTCAATTCCGCGCAAAATCGATTCACAGGGTTTCCTTTAAATCCTGAAAATTGATCAGTTCTGATCAATTTTGGTATTCCGTGCGTGTCGATCTACGATCATGGAATTTTATTGTTTATTTGCCACCCGTAGATTTATTCACTTTTACTAAGGGAAACTTTGAAAATCGATCTATGGTCGCCAAGAGATATATATTGTTCCCTTTATGGTTTTCTATTGGCCCTGCGCAGTCTGCTTGTAACTCCTGACCTGGCTCTGACAATTGGGGTGAAAATTTTTGATGCATTTTTAGGTATGACATTGTTAACGTTCTTACCGTATCGTGTGCAACTACGGCACTCCTCTCCCAGGTTGATTATGTCTTTGTGCATATGTGGCCACCACAGTTGTTGGACACGTTGAGCATAGCTTCTTGTCTTGGATGCTCCCTGTGTATGCGCTTCATCACCGCGGGTCTCAATGCGACTGGCACTGCAAGTCTGTTGTCGACTAGGAGACAATCGACCACTGCCAAATTTTGGTTCCAAAGCTGGTTGGTGTATGGGATCAAAGCTTTTTCTGTCTCCTCTTTTGAGTAATCGTCTAATTCTGTCCAGCCAGACATCATCCGAGGTGAGTTCCGCTAGTAGAATCTTGTCGAATAATCTTGATAGTTGCGACAACTCTTGGTCTCCTAGCTGTTCGCGCAGTTTGTGTGCATCCGTTCTTGAGAGGTAGCTACTCGACGATTCGGGTCTACTAGCTGTACTTCATACTCCCCTCTTCGCTCATAATCAGATCTATCTCTTTGATTGGTGCCTTCGTTTCCTCAACTCGTTCTTCCAATCTGCTGTGGTCGTCGTTTAGTTCCTCTTTTATCATCGCTTCTAGATTGCTGATTTGCGTTGGTCTTTCTCCAGTTTCTTCTCCCATTTGTTGCCAGAAGAAGAGTAGATGTTGTTCTGGTTTATAATCTTTGCTTCGGAATAACCATTTTATTCTGGGGCGACCTTGATTCTTCCTCTTTTTCCGAGAACGAGTAGTTTCTCCTGCTTCTTCTCGCTATCTTTTAAGCCTATTGAAATGTCTCCGTGACTTCTTCCTCCTCCGATGCTTCGTCCTGCTCCCTTCTTCTTTTATTCGGTGTATTCCACCTCGGGTCTGAAAATCTCTCTTCTCTTTCCTCTCTTCGCCATCTCTCGTCACTATCCCAGCTTCCACTGCACATCTTGTTTTTGTTTTCTTTTTCTTCTGAATTTCTATACAACTGTTCTCTCCGATCGATAATTTTACACTGATTTTGAACGAAGTTGACAGTTGACATTAAAACTTTTCGACGGTCGCGAGCCGAAGTAGTTTTCAATCCGGTCGACCTTTGTTCAGCAATGGCAAGCGAGAGATGACGTGTTTTGCTTCATTTTCGGTTTTAAACTTCTCGAACATTCTAGAAAGTTTTCGTTCCTGTTGAGCTATATTTTCTCATTCAGTCTACTGTTTAAAGAGTCCAGTGCTGAATGAAACAATTCTGTAGCTGTAACTACAATTTTCTCATCTAATTCAGGTTCAGGCCATGGGTTCCCATTAGGCTTTCTGCACAGATAGTCAATTATCCTCATATCTTTTCCAGGTATACGAACTACTTAAAATTGATACCGCACTAGTCAATCAACCCGCCGGTTTGTATCTATCGACCACCTAAACTACAGCGATTAAATTTCTTTCATTCGTAGAACTTTTGTTCGTGAGCGTTTAGTTACCTTAAAGTAAATGAAATTGGAACCCATTCTTCCTCATCCGTTTTATGTTCTAAAGTGGCTTTAAGTCCACTATGACTGGCATCGCATTAAATTCCAGTTTTCAGCTTCTGGTCATAGTAATGTACATTCGAGAAGTTTGGCACAGCAATTTTGATTTTTTCGAATGTTTGGGTGATCTCTTTGGACCATTCAGTTTTTCTCACCGGTACTTTGACAGTTTTCAATT